TCTGGAGAAGATTTCGAAAATGTGAAAGGTTTACAGACGAACGGACGACAGACAAATATTATCAGAAAAGCTCACTTGAGCTTCCAGCTCAGGTGAGCTACAAATGTCTAACACACACGATGCCATAACGTTAACTTGTGTAAAGGTCAAACCTATACTGATTCAACATTTGTAATTTTTCGCAAACTAAACATTTGTTGGTAGTCACTAATATTCACTTTTACTTTAGTTACTTGGGGTATATTTTTTTTTTCCATTTTTTGACCTTTTCCATCTTAAAATTCCGTAATTCTGTTATTTTTTTATGGAAAAAATAAGAGCAGAAAATATAAAAATGTCTACTCGCACGGAATCGGTAAACCTCATTTTTACCCTACAAAAATCTCTAGAATCCAGGGGCTTCCGGGGGCTTTCCCCCTGGGCCCGCACTAGGGCTTCGCCCTGGAGCCACTGCCAACTTTTTGCGCCCCCTAACTCCAATTCCTGGATTCGCGCCTGAATAGGATAAACAGTTCATCAGTGGCAAACAAACTGGTTCATAATTGATGATAATACAATGAAATGTTATGCTTTAATTAGGAAAATTGGCGCCGGATTGAATGACAAATAAAAAATATCTTTCGACTGAAGTTAGAAAAATATCCTGTACCTATGATGACAAATTTTTGTTATTAACGAAAGTTTGTCATGTACAGCAACTCATATTTAAGTTGACCTCTGTCGTAAGGACCTGAGTGCATTAGATTAATTAATCATTTTCCTTGCTGGGTGGTCTTTATTTAGAATTTACAAAGGTAATCAATGAATTTTAGGGCTTTTCATATTTTAATTACATAACTTCGGTCTTGGTACCACATTGTACTTTTAATGACAAATTCCTCAATGTTATGTTGTGCTAATTTGTTGTTACAAAATGATTGATATATTGCAATCAATTCACATAAAATTGAAATATGACATGAAAAAAAAAAAAAACATTTGTTCATCGACATGAATAAAAAAAATCTCACCAGAAGTCTCTGACGGTACTGTATCTCTTAGAGTACTCTTTTTTAATAGTGAATAGGGTAAATGCATCTGGGCTTTATAATTTGCACATTTCCCTTTTTAATCTGTTATCACATCTTATTTCTTTTATATCATTTAAATCAAGTTTTGATTGAATAATTCAGTAATGACGTTTTATGAAATAAAGAAACGATTGCTTGTTGTCAGTTTCACTAAAAATTGCCAGTAACTTAGTTCCGCCAACCGGAAACGCCACCGTACTCACGTTTTTGCCATTTCATGGCTGTTTATAGAAAATGAAAGTAGACTTTTAATTAAATGTACGATACTTACTATGCGGGTGTAATCTAAATATAGTTTACGGACATCACCTTGTACCTAGTGTATTCTTAGAGGAGTAAGTAAGAACTCCGGTGCACCCGTTTCGGAGTTTATTTGCAAAAAATTTATAAGTATAGATTTATTTACTGACATCTAATCATACTCATTTATGAAGCGTGTAGGTCGTGCTTAATAATCCTATATTCTGTCATGCAAGTTCTTTGATAAAAATGGTTTTTTTTTTCCAAATAGTATTTTTGACCATTACTTCACAGGTTTGAATTAAATAAAAATTTGATCGGCGAATTTTCATTTTCAAATTTGTTCTTATAAACTTTCAATAACGCAGTCTATCGGGGCAGAATTGTTGTTCATTTTTAGTAAATAAAGGGCCATAACTCGTATGAAAAGAGGTTGAAATCAAATAAATCTTAAATTATTGATTATTTGTTGTTTTACGCTGAGTTCGACAGTATTTCAGAAATGTAAAAAGTGAAGATACCGAACACTGATCAATCTTTCAAACCCATTGAAGAATACAAATCGTGAATAGGGCAAACCCGTATTTGTATTCACAAGCAAATGTGTATACCAAAGGTTAAAAGTTTACTAAAACCCAAACAAAACACTTCTGAAAAAAAGCGTTAAAGACAGGCAGACAGAGGTTAAAAAAAATCCTCTACAGGACTAATAATTATCCATTCTATTTGATTTGGTCCGTTGGTACTACAATATAAAAATTTTAGCATTTACTTTAACTGGTACAATTGTGTTCAAGAATTCGTTTGTATGAGTTAATTCCCTATGACAAAATAAATAAATTAACTAAATTATTGAAACCAGCTAAAGAGTCCTGAAATATTCCTGGACTAATTCTCTTAGTTGATTTTGAAAAGGCATTTGATACGATAGAATGGCCTTTCATTGATAACACTTTAGAAATATTTGGATTTGGTGAAAGTTTCAGACATTGGGTTCAAATCCTGTATACAGATATCTCTAGTAGTGTTATAAACAATGGGTATACAACCTCTTTCTTCAAATTAACTAGAGGGGTGAGACAAGGATGCCCTTTATCACCCTGCCTGTTCATTTTATGTGTTGAGCTACTTGCAATAGCCATAAGGGCAAATAGAAATATATGTGGAATAAAAATAGGGGAGACAGAATTTAAGATTAGCCAGTTAGCAGATGACACTACATGTTTTCTAAGTGATGAAAAATCAGGAATTGAAATATTAAATGTTATTCAAAAATTTAAGTACTGTTCTGGTTTGAAAATTAATTTGAATAAAACTGAAGGAATTTGGATAGGAAAGAACAAAAACTTCAAACCGGGAATCTTGCCAGTGATATGGTCTGAAGGTCAATTTTTTACTCTTGGTATTAGGTTTAGTTCAAGCGGTAAACAAAAAACCCTTGCTAAAAACTTAAATACAAAATTAGATGAACTAAAAGCAACTTTGAATTTATGGAAAATGAGGAATTTAACACTTATTGGCAAAATTCTAATTGTAAAAACTTTAGTAATATCAAAAATAGTATACCAAGCACAAGTACTTCCAATTCCCCCACAAATGATAAAGGAGGTGTCTAAAGAACTGAATAAGTTTATATGGAATAATGAAAAGCCAAAAGTTAAAAGTTCAGTATCCTGTCAAAAAATCAATAAGGGTGGATTGAAAGTTCCTAATCCTGAAGCACAAATGAAATCATTAAAACTTGGTTGGATTAGAAGGATATTTATTAATACAAAAGCAAGATGGAGAAATATACTTCAATCTTACCTGAATGATATAGAATTGAATGATTTTATAATTACCAGAGGTTGTCTAAATAGGCTACATGCATGTTCATCATTACCACAATTTTACAGATACATTTTTGAAACATGGACACAACTTAGATGTAATGTTATTAATATTGAACCAATAATATTTAAAGAAGCTCTTTGGTTCAATGATAACATTAAAATAAATAATGAGACTGTGTTTTGGAAAAAATGGTATAAAAAAGGTATCTTATTTATTGGAGACATTTTAGGTGATAATTATGATTTTTTAAGCCATGAAGAATTAAGTAATCTGTATGACTTGAATACACCTTTTTTTGATTACTTTTGTTTAAGAAATGCAATTCCATATCATTGGCGAAAATATATAAGACAAAACAAAAAAGTTTCTTTTAATAGAGATTCTTTGACCTTATGTTTTAATAATAAAAGGAGTCTTTTGTCAAAAATATCTTGTAAAGACTTTTACTGGATTACAGTGGAAAGTTTAAATGAAGTACCAACATATGTACAAAAATGGGAGGAAATATTTAAAGTAAATTTCTCGCAAACAGACTTGGAAAGAATTTTCATGCTCCCTTTTGTATGTTCTAATGAAACATCATTACAGTCTTTTCAGTATAAGCTAACTCATAGATTTTTATCTCATAATAAACTACTATTTCAAATGAAAATTAACACTTCCCCCCAGTGTTTTTTATGTAAAATGGAAGATACTATAGAACACAAGTTCTATTACTGTACTTATGTTTGTTACATTTTGGAACCACTTTCTAACTTGGTGGAATGATTTACACATTTGCCACATAGACAAGCTATCTTGTCAAAATGTTATATTAGGTCTGTATGAGAGAAAATGTGATAGTTTGAATTATTGTATTTTGCTTTCTAAGTTTTATATACATTCAGTGTCTATAGCTAATTTGAATGTCCTTAAAAAAGAACCAAGTTTTCATGCCTTTTTATACCTTCTGAAAAAGAAATTACTACTTAAAAAGGCAGCATATTGCTCAAATAGTAATTTAGATATTTTTAATGAAACGTGGCAACCAATATTAGATGCATTATAGTTATTACATCAGAACTAATGGTATTATTTCACTATGTATTTAAATCAAATGTCATAATCAAAAAGTAATATCCACTGTAACATATTTCTTTGTAAAAGTAATGAAAATATGTTTTGTATCTGTAGATAGTATGCACTGTGATCTTTCATGATTTGCAAAACATTGTCTTGCAGGATGCAGACTGACGCTACTGTATATAGCTAAATTTGTTGCATGTCTATTATTTTATTACATTGTATATGGAAAAAAGCCAATAAAATAAATAAATAAATAAATAAAGAGTCCTGACATTATCGAGGAATTATTTAAAAATATAGTGCTAGTACCTCACCCACAGACGGCAAATCCCCACAGAATAACAATTAGTATGGAAAAAGAAGCCGCTGGGTGATACATGTATTGTTCAAGACCTTCATAACCATTTTAAATCAGCGAATGCATGAATTGTATAACTGAGATGTGAAAATTAAATAAAGTTTTTTGATAATTAACCGCTTTATTTTAAAAGAACTGTATTTAGTGATATAGAGAACAGAGAAGTTGCGTAATGTTTTACAAATTACACATTTGTCTATCGAAATCGAAGAAAAAGAAAACATAATTAACAAAGCTTTTCTTTGTTTTCATAATGAATATACATTGATCTCGATGTTTAAGAACATGCCTTTATTATCTGATTCCGAGAAAAATATTGTCAATGGTCAAGGTAAAAACTTTTATCCTTGTGTAGTAACAATTTGTGTTAATTAAACCGACTAGTATAAATGTCGATGCGATGAAGTGAAAAAATCATTCAAGTCCAACGATTTTCTAGAGGAACACGCACCTTCCGACATGGGCAGGACCTTTTTCTTAGTTTTTCTTCTTGTCTGCTGCATGGCATTCACTGCTGAAGGTTGGTGATTAACTCTTTTAACATTTTATTTTTCTTATATGAACCAGGCATTGTTCCTTTATATTCTTTCCTAATTAACATCTTTGTATTTTTGCTAGTTTTTTTTTAATTCTACAGAATCTTTTCTTTAGATTATCATCTATATATTTTTCGCATTTCATTAAGGAGAAACATACCGATAATGGTTTCCTACAAATGAAATAAATCATTAAAATGAAATAAATTAACTTTTAGCCTTCTGGGGCACAACTTGTCCCTGGGGTACCTGGCCGACTGGAGCCAGTTGTCACATCTGGCAAGGATGCAAATTCGGCTTCTGTTACGCTCCATTTGGAAAGTGGGGCATTTGTTGTAGGAAGCGTGAGTATTTTGTTCAGCTTTAAAAGCAAGTAAAATTACATTTTCAGTGACATGCAATTTAGTTACAACATATGTTTTTATCGTAACCATTGCTAGAGCTATAATTCTTAAATGTTTTGGCTAATAATGTGCTTCCAGATCGGAAAAATCTATAAACTTTTGTGATCTTTGAAGTATAAATAACTACAAATCAACAGTTACTATTATATTATTATAAGATAACTAAGTCCGATAATAGAACCAGGTATACATTCATCTTAGTGTAAACTTTTAAACGTCATTAAGCCTAACAAATACAGGTAATAAAATTACAGAATATTTAGAAGTAATTTCAACTAGCCATTTTGTAACCCTTGAAACAATCCACTGCACAGTAATTTATATTCTTACAATTCCTCAATTGTCGGCAAACTTATATTCTGTGCACAATCAGGAACCTTTCACCGTAATCACCATGTTATTAATAAATAAATACATGCTCTTTAGTAAGATAAAAGCAGTATTTAAATATAAATATTATAGAGTGAATTTTTATTATGGATTAAAAAGCATATTGTAAAGTAATCTTGAATTAATTATTTAAAACAATATATCAGGACAAATGAACCTTTTGAGAAATACCTGATTCCTGACATATACTATTTCTATTATTTATTCATTTCCATACGTGAAATTTTTATTCATGTACGTTTCAATTATGTTACCCATTAGTTTTTGTAAAAGGTTTTTTCTAAAGATAAAAAGTTTTTTTTAAAGATATAATTTTGAAAAGAGTAGAATTATTTTAATTTTATTAATAATGTCTTTTTAAGAACCATCGATAATTGTATTGCTTTAGTATCTCTAAAATTTTGTGTGTTTTCAGGCGGAATTTACTGAGTCCTCCAGGCATCGGTGACTTGTTTAACTATTGTTGAAGAGTGAAAAAATAAAAGAACATTGCTATGCATCGTTTTTGTTTATGAAGTTTCTTTTCAAAACTAAAATGACTTGAATGCAAGTGCAATACAAAGACTGCATATCTGAATTTTTCTAAATGAGCAAAAGCTTTTATATATTCTTCTTTAATTAAATAAATGAAGGACACAAGCAAAACCATAGAATTGTGGTCCCCGCTTTCGGTGTCTGAGCGGTTGGAATGCAATTATTTATGGCATATTGTTACTGTCTTGTGTATTGTCTTGTCTGTTCATAAATTAAAAAAAAAACTAATAAATGATCTAATAAAAATTATGGCAAAGACCTAGATTAAAATTTCTCAAAACTTTAAGGTTATGGGGTCAAATATCATAATAAAATCCAAAGGTTTTGTCGCAAGCAATAATGAAATATGAAATGTATATGAAAGCCTTGTCTCCTCTGGAGCAAAAGTTATACATTTTGGTAAGCATGCCAAACTTCTTGGTCAAGATCATGAAGTCAAAAATGATATATCTAATCTGAAAATCGTTGTCATAGGTAAATAAATGCACTTGTAAAGTATGAAAGTCCTCTCTTCTCTTATTTACAAGTTCTTACCAATGTAAAAAAAATGAAAACGACTCTACGTTAAACTTTAAGGTCAAGGTCAAAAACCAAAGTGCATTTGGAAAGCCTGAAACAGGTTATGCACATCACAAATATAAATGCCTTATCTTCTCTCGTTCAAAAAGTATCAGCAATTTTGAACTAATTGAAAATTAGGTCACAGGCAAACATAAGCGCCTTATCTTCTATTCTTCAAAAGCTAGTAGCAATGATAAAATTTTTGAAAATTATGTCAAACTTCAAGGTCAAGTGGTCAAAAATCATAGTACACTTGGAAACGTCTTGTCGCAGGTAATGCACTTAACAAATATGAATGCCCTATCCTTTCTCATTCAAAAGTTGTAGCCAATAATAACATTTTTGAAAACTACGTCAAACTTCAATATCAAGGTCACGGGGTCAAAAATCATACCATGTTCGGAAATGCCCTTGTCACGGGTAATGCACATATCATATACGAACTCCCCATCTTCTCAATTAAAAGTTATCAGCTATGTTAAAATTTTTGAAAAGTAGGTCAAACTTCAAGGTCAAGATCAGGGGGTAAAAAATCATAGTATAATTAGAAAGGTTTTATCGCAGCTAATGTACCTGTGAACTATGAAAGCCCTTTCTTTTCTCACTCAAAAGTTATGACCAAGGTTAAAGTTTTTGTAAAAAGACAGACGGACAGACGAATGAGATTTAATGTCTTCTGGCTTTCGCGAAAGCAGGGGAAAATTCATATTCATTTTTGTAGTTTATATCTTTAACTGTTTCACAAAAGAATATCCTGGATGTTATTTGAAAAGCGTTTAAGTTTTATGAAATTTGCAAGTGATAAATGCTAAACAAATTGTTTGAATCTTTACTATTTTAAAGCTGAACATGACTCGTAAATAGGCATCACCATATGAGATTCACTATCTTCGACATCAGTGACAACGTGAACGGCTTGTATACGGGTCCCCAGATATAACGACTGAATAAAAGAATATGGCGGACAAATTCCTTTTACGAATCGTGTTCAGCTTTAAATATTATCGTATACCTCTACGACGACTCCTGTAAGCATCTTGAAATGAGCCATTTGGATTATGCCAACAGTGGGTTATTTCGTTTGCCAAACATTACAATTCTTGCAATATCGAGCTGCAAAATTCCTGCTGAAGTGGAAATCGAGTTAAAGTTCGACAGAGGCTTTAAAAAAATGGCATTGCTAACCAGTTAATTATAGGATCAATTTAACATACCATGTATGGTTTTCAAGCTTCTCAATGGCATTGATATTTAACTATACCTTCGAGAAATGATGAGCATTAGAATAACAACATACAACATTCGCTCTAATAATACGATGTTCTAGTCATTTTAAGATGTACAAACTATAATGTACGTCTGTTAAAAATTACTGATTGATTGTATGTTGTTTTACGTCCCATTCGATAATTTTTCACTCATATAGAGACGTCAGCATATACCGGTGTTCGGCTTCAAATTAAGATCTATACTCAACACTCAGGGCCATTGAGCAGTGATGGATCTTTTTCGTGCCAACGTCTACCGTGACACGGGACCTCGGTTTTTAAGGTCTCATTCAAATAACCCGTGCCATTCAATTCTAAAGCCGGGCGTTTGACGCGAAAAGGCGAACGAGAATCGAATCCGGGCCTCCCAATCACGAAGCGAACATCCTACCACTAGGCAACCGTGTCCGGATGTGAAAAATGAAGAGATAAGTTAATTTTGTTAACCAAATAAAGTTACGAAAATGCTGTAAATTAGAGATTAAAATCTTCCTTTAGATTTCAAATTACCGTACATACTGCCTTTAAGTCGGTTGTATTGTTTGAGGTTATTTGGAGGGATTTGCCATTCAAATTGACCGGCCGCGGCCGCTTAAAAATACGACAAAATGTACGACGTACCTTGTCTTCTTTAATTTCCAACGGACTAGTATGGACTTTTGAGGGTTTTTTTTTTCACATACATGTAAAATCGGGTTTGACATGGTGTGTATAGCTTTGAACGCATTTGTCTCCAGGACCATATACTGAGACTGATGTCAACATTTAGATTTTGAATATTTTTTTTCTTTTTTATTTTACAAACAAGTTTAAAAATTGCGCAAGTTTTTATAATATTTAAGTTGAAAGAACACATGAAAAATTTTTTACTATTTCCCAAATTTTTTCACAGGTTATATTTGAAATTTTGATCGATGTTGTTCTCAGTTTAGTCTTGAGACCATGTCTTTTGCCATTTCTGGACTTATGGCGTGGAATGAAATATCACCAAATGCAAGGATCATTAGTGATTACAAGGCAATAGGACCTTAACGATCACCTGAGTATAATGTAGAACTGTAAAGGATCCATAGATTGAATATAAAATAATACAAATTAGGCTGAAAAATAAAGCTGTGTTGCCCAAAAGCAAGAGAAATGGGATGGTCAGGGATCAGCAAAATAATATAGTGATCAGTAACAAATCTTAAAGCTGAGCTATCTCGATGGCCCTGAGTGCCGAGTAAAGGTCAAAATTTGAAGCCCTTCACCGATATATGGTAACTTCTCTATATGAGTGAAAAATTCTCGAATGGGACGTAAAACAATATACAATCAATCAATCAATCTACTTGTCTGTATTTGTCCCCATTTGTCACTACACAGCTCTGTTGAGGCTGCATAATTTATACGGGAAAAGTTTACTGTGCATCACACAAATATTGCAATTCCTCACAATAACAGAAAATGAAATAAGTTGCGATTATAAACTGCATGGGAATAATGATACAACTGCATTCATTTTTGTCGCTAGTTAAATCCCACACAGCAAGATATAAACAAGTCACTGATCGGAATGCACTTGTCGACTGTCATCATGGTAAAATTTGACGCATTTTATGTGCTGTGAGACGCGGATCAAGTAATTTTTTTCACAGTGAAAAATGCATTTTATTATTAAACAGAATATTATTTGCAAATCTTAGGTAGACCATTAATACAAATCTAAAACCTTTGTTTAGTGCTATTATTTAAAAACTATCGAGAGAATGTATTGAATTAATTCTACCGTGTTTTTGTAGACAGGGTTTGCATGTTTCACATCGAGGTGCCTCATTTAATCGCCTTTTCGCAAGGGCATATACTTGATAAATCTTGACCATTTTTTGAATATACATAACAGACACATTTCTTAACTTGAAAAGTGCTGTTGCTTTCCTGAAATCTAGAGCATAACTTAATAAATGCATAAAATACTTGGTAAAGGTCACACATGTTTTGATAACTTGAAATTTAAACTAAAAAATGCAAATTCTATTTAAAGCAGCAGCACTTTCGATACACTACGAGTTATGTAGAAACAATTTAATTTTTAATTTTAACTAAGGTATACCCTTGCGATATTGAAATTTGTTTGTGACCTACATACAATACACATTGCATGGTCGCCCGCGTGGCGCAGTGGTTAGAGCGTGTGCTCTAGAGTCGCGGAGTAAGGAGTTGATCCTTACGTCGCGGGTTCGAATCCCACTGTTGGACGTGGAGACCGGTCCTTCGGATGAGACCGTATAAACCGAGGTCCCGTGCCGCAGTAGGTGCTGGCACGAAAAAGATCCCTCACTGCTCAATGGCCGTAAGTGCCAAGTATAGGACAAAATTTGCAGCTCTCCACCGGCAAGTGGTGGCGTCTCCATATGAGTGAAAAATTCCCGAGAGGGACGTTAATTAAACAACATACAAACAGACACATTGCATGCATTTATCACGTGACTGTCAAATATAACGGGCCGACTTCATTTGTCACAGATCGGTCATATGATCGGCGTAAAACGGCTAACTGGCAAATGAAGTAAACCGGCGAAAACAAAAAAATAATTATACTATATAACAATCAATTAATTAAGATCTATCACTTTTTACGTTATGTCTTAGCGAAAAAAAGTTTGGATAATTAGAAATTCAATGTTTAAAAAAGTCATAGACCTAAAAAAAAAAAATTATTTTTAGAAAATAAGAACGGATTTTAAATATATGAATGGAGATTTCTTCAAGAAATGCAAACAGTTAAAGAATATGCCGAATTGGTAAAAAGTATCCCCATTTTATAAGTTGTTTTATCTTCCCGCCATATTTCTAAGACCGGCGAATTGCTCGCCGGTCATTTCAGACCGGCGAGATCGGCGTACGCCGGCGAACCTTCCCCGGTCAAATGAAGCAACAAGCCGGGTTACCAAAGGTCAAGCGGCGCATTCGGCGTACGCCGGTTTGACAAATGAAGTCCCACCAACGTGACCAAACCAAATTCAGTACAGAGCGGGATATACATGTTATATTAAAGTCATGTGATAATATAGTACCTTTAGAAAAATAAATTCAGTTTAAAAAGGTATGTATTTATGCACGTTTATATTCCGTTGATTTCTTCGAAGTACGCCTT